GAAGTTTTTTTGGAAGAGTCTGTGTGTTATGGGGGAGGGGAACATTTATCTGCTCATGAAATATCCATACTGGGCTCTGTTCCTGGGTATAAAGATGACTCCCCTGTCCCTGCCCTCTTGGGGCATCTAGTCGCCTGGGAAAGAAAGGTGTGAAAACAGCAAGGCAGGTCCAAGTCTTAAGTAAGGTATGGTGGCAGCCTCTGGGGTGGACAGGAAGATATTCTTTGGAAGACCTGGTGGCATTCCAGACCTGAGAACCATTTGCAAAGGTAGTCAAGTGGGCAAGGGCAAGTTAAATTCAGAGAGATTCTGAGACTCCTTCAGGGTAAGCCTTTCAAGGGAAAGCAAGGCTTTTGCATCTGTTTTGTTGTCTAGCGTGTCCCACGTGCCTGATGCACAATAGGAAGTAGGTATCTACAGAATGAGTGATGGGGCTGTGGAAGAGAGGGTGGCAATAGGGACCCAGAGTGACAGAGCTGGACTTAAGAAGTGATGGAGTTTGGACAGAAGACCTGACCAGATTTGAGTGCTAGAAAGATCACTGTGCCTGCAGGGTGGATTGGGTCACCAAGAAAACTGGGGCAGGGGAGACCAATGGAGGCCAGTACCGATCAGGCAAGACATGGTTAGGCCTAAACCAGGGCACTCAGTTTGGGGATGGAGAAATGTGTGTGAGGGCAAGCCATTCATTCATATGAACATCAGCTGTGGGCTAGGTCTTCTAGAATTAAGCCTTGAGGGCAGCCTGGGTGGCTCAGCGGTTTACCCCACCTTCAGCCCAGGGCGTAATCCTGAAGACCTGGGATCAAGTCCCATGTCGGGCTCCCTGCGTGGAGCTTGCTTCTCCCTCTCCCTGTGTCTCTGCCTCTCTCTCTCTCTCTGTCTCTGTTTCTCATGAATAAATAAAATCTTAAAAAAAAAGAATTAAGCCTTGAACAAGATACACATAGTTTCTGGGGCACCCCGCCAGCCCAGTCTGTGAAGCATGAGACTTTTTTTTTTTTTTTTAAGATTTTACTTATTTATTCATGATAGAGAGGGAGAGGCAGAGAAACAGGCTCCACGCAGGGAGCCCCACATGGGACTCCAGCCCAGGTCTCCAGGATTACACCCTGAGCTGAAGGTGGCGCTAAACTGCTGAGCCACCCAGGCTACCCAAAGGGTGAGACTCTTGATCCCACAGTTGTGTTTGAGCCCTATGTTGGGTGTAGAGATGACTTAAAAGTAGAATCTTTGAAAAAAGAAAAAGACATGGTTCCTGACTTCAAAGTGCAAGGAGACTAACAATAAATAAACTAATTATATATATATATATATATATATATATATATATTTTTTTTTTTAAGATTCATTTATTTGAGGGAAAGAGCAGGGGGAGAGGCGAAGGGAGAGGGAGAGAATCTCCAGCAGACTCTGCTGAGCAGGAAGCTCGCCTTGGGGCTCAATCATTGGGGCTTGATCTCACAGCCCTGAGATCATGACCTGAGCTGAAATCAAGAGCTGGACACTTCACCAACTGAGCCACCTGGCCGGCCTTAAACTAATTTTAAAAGATCAGGAATTGCAATGAGTTCTATCAGGAAAATAACACAAGGTGATGAGAAAGAAAGTAACAGAAGGAGAAGGCTTTTCTTGAGGAGGGGACATCTGTGCTGAGACCTGAATATAGGAAGGAGCAGCCATAGGAAGATGGGGGAAGCAATGAGAAGAACATTCACTCATTCATTCATTCATTTATTTTAAAGACTGTATCTATTCATGAGAGAGGCAGAGACATAGGCAGAGGGAGAAGCTGGCTCCCTGCAGGGAGCCTGATGTAGGACTCGATCCCAGGATCCCCGTATCATGCCCTGAGCCGAAGGTAGATGCTCAACCACTGAGCCACCCAGGTGCCTCTAGAAGAGCATTTAAAGCAGAGGGAGCAGCTAAGTGCAAAGGCCCTCTGACAGTTCGGGCTGTTTGCCAGACAGAACAAGCCAGAGTGGCTTTAGGTGGAGAGAGAGAAGAGAGGGGTGGATAATGACTTTGGAAGAGGCAGGAGACAACTCACGCAGGACCTGAAGGGCATGGTCAGCGGTTTGGATTTTATTCCAAGTACAGCTGAATTCTAGCAGTGCAGGGACAAAGTGTAATTTGTGGGTTTAAAAGATGGTACTGAGCAAGAGTTGAAGATGAGTTAGCAAGCTTTCACAGTTGTCCAAGTCTGGGGATTAGTCTGAAGTAGCAGTGGCTCAGCTGGAGAGAAGTAGAATCGGGTCTTAACAAATGAGATGTTTTCTTACCCACTCCTTGGCTCAGGTTGGGACACAGAGGCCTGGATGAGTCATCTGCCTAAGGCCCAGATGGTTGAGTTGCCCTTGAAGGAAATTCCTGAGAGATGGGAGTTCACTGCTGTAAGGACTGGGGTGCTCCTGAGAAATGTGGGGCCCATCGTCTTAGCTAGCATCTGTGTTTGTGCCTATCTCTGTGTTCTGCCTCCAGTCAGTGGAAGCCTGATGAGGAGCCTGGCCCCCAAGCCTGGTCCCCCAGGGAACGGGCAGCCCTTCAAGAGGAACTTAGTGACGTCCTCATCTACCTGGTAGCACTAGCAGCCCGCTGCCATGTGGACCTGCCCCAAGCAGTGCTTTCCAAGATGGACCTCAACCGCCGGCGCTACCCAGCACATCTGTCCCGTGGCTCTGCCCTCAAGTATACAGACTTGCCCCATGGGGCCACCTGTGAAAGCCAAGCTGTGGGGCCTGCAAACCTTGACTGTGAGTCCACAGGCGAGGCCTCAACCTAGAAATATGGGCACAGGACTTGCAACTCAGCATGGCATCTGAGAAACAGAAAGTGGCCTGGCTGTGGAACTTTGTTCTAGTCCTTTTCTAACAGAGCATGGGTTTAGGGGCCCTACTTCCTAAGGTCTGAGGCCCAAGAACCTCCAGAAGACAGCCTCCTGGTATTTTTGCTCTCAATAAAAGTTTTGGTTAGCAACTTCTGGATTCTTCCTGGAGTGACTAGGGAGGCTCTATTTCAGCAGGTACTAGAGAAGGGCACCAGGGATGCTTCCGAGCCCAGCTCCCATGTTTCTCTAGGTACCTCCCACCTAGAGGGCAGAGAGATCTGATTTCTAGCAAGGTCCCTGTCTGATGTCATGCAATTCCCTTACCCCTTCTGGGCATCTAAAATTTTTTATTTTTAGATTTTATTTATTTGAAAGAGAATGAGCAAGAGAGAGAGAGCAAGCACAAGCAGGGGGAGGGGCAGAGGGAGAAGCCAACTCCCCGCTGAGCAGGGAGCCTGGTGTGGGGCTCTATCCCAGGACCCTGGGATCATGACCTGAGCCAAAGAAAGATGTTTAACCAACTGAGGCACCCCCTCTTCCGGGCATCTAAAGGGGACTGGCGGGTATATGTAGTGTTAGTTAAGGGCCCAGGTTCTGGGGCTAGACTCTTCAGGTTCACGTGCCACCTATGATACTTACAAGCTGGATGATATTCATCAAACTACATTTATCTGTGCCTTGCCTTCCTCATCTAAAATGAAAACAGTATCTACCTTATAGGGTTGTAAGGTTTAAGTAAGTTATCTTTAAGTAGAATGTTTAGAACAGTGCCTGGGGGAAAAAAAAAGAACAGTGCCTGGTATGTAGTAGGGACTTCCTAAGTTTGTACTTAGCTGTTTGCTTTTTCAACTGAAAACTTTCAGGGGCCCAGAGCAGGAAATGTCAACAATTAAAAGGGTCCTGGGCCTAAAACCCATCCTCATCTATCAGGATCCCAACCCTGTGAGCACCTAATGCCCCTCTCTCTGGGCCCCCATGACAAATTGGAGTCAAGTGTCTAAGGTGGAGAACAGAGATTCCTCTCCTCTTGAAGAGGACCTCTTGCCTCCTCCCCTGTCCTCCCAAGGCCAACTTCCACTTGTACATCTAAAAGATAACGTTGCGTGTATATGATTTACTCGTGAGACCTCAGGCACATTACTCCCTTTCTGGGATACCCATGGCCTGCCTTCCTCACAGAATGGAGTAATGCTGGGGGAAAAACCTTTAAACTACTTTTCCCACCCCTAATGAGCCTATTTCCATGTAAGTAAAATGAGGCATTCCTTTTAACTGGTCTCATTCCTTTTACGAATGACCTCTTCCCAGGTAAAACACAATCTGGATTAGAACTGTTTCAGCTCTGTATTCCCAAACCTACCTTTCCTCTTCCTGCTAGTGAAAGCAGGAACCTTATCCTTGCTGATCTTTTATCATATATCCTTTCCTTGATGAGTTCTCTCCTCCCTCTGTATAACCAACTTCTCTTCCTATCAGCCCTGCCACCAGCATATATAAAGCATTAAAGATTTTATTCCCTACAGACAAAACAAACCCAACAAACCTCCAGCCATTTCCCTCTTGCTTTTCACAGCCAAGCCTCTTAAAATAGGTTGTCAACACCCATCCACTCTACTTCTTTATTCTCCTATTTATACTCTAGCCCACTCCTCTCCCCACTTTCCCTGAGCTACAGATACGGCATCTAACAGAGCTGACCACTCCCTCCATGAGACACTCTAGATTTCCCAGAAAAGACAGTTTTCTTTCCACTTGTGGCTGCGGTTTCTTGAGTACTCTCTTCTAGAGATGGTATCCTGCACTCCAGACCTGATATCCCCAACCTATTATTTCCAATCACCTCTGACCCCCTCCTCCTTTACCTCACACCCGACGTGTCCAGATTGGGACATAATTACCGCTGCTTCAGTGCCTATCCTGTTCTCATCCTGTGCCCTCCTCTCTAACACCACCCGCAGTCCTCCAAGCTAGGAACTGAAGCCAGCCCATCTCTCGTAGACTGACTGAAGTTTATGCCTGCTCACCAAACAAAAGGGTGACTGATCCAAACGTGCTATTTGTGCACCCTTCCAGACCTGAAGTTATGGGTACTCCCCAAACATAAAGCTAGTTCAGGGAACTCTTTTGGGCCCACAGCCCCGCTGGGCTCCATAACTCATTTAAGTCACTTAAGCCTGGGTAAAACGCCACCTTTCCCCCCACCTTATTCACAGGCACGGGTGGGGCGAAGATATAATACTTTATTCACTAACACGGGTCAAGGGATTGTAGTGAGCAGGGAGTGGGTACTGTTTCCAGGGTTCCCAGTTAGGGGATTCTCCCTGCCTCCTAGTTCCAAGGCAGCCAGGCCTGCCATCCCACCCTTTCCCAGGCGGGGATGGAGGGCCAGGAGGGCCAGGTTAACGCAGGCCCAGATGGGGGTCCCAGCGTGCACGCCAATCCCCCACCCCAGCCGGACGCTTGTGGCCCCGCGGCGACAAGAACGGCGGCTCAGCTGCCCTCGCAGTCTGGGCAGCGCTCGGTGGCAGTGGTGGCCGTGGAGCCAGGCGGTAGCTTGAAGTCCCGGCCGCAGCCGGCGCAGATATAGAGACGGCGCCGCATGTGCGCGCGACGGTGGCGGATGAAATGCGAACTGAGGCGGAAGCGCCGGCCGCACTCGGAGCACGGGTAGGGCCGCTCGCCCGTGTGCGTGCGCGCATGCTCCGCCAGGTTGGAGCGGTGGCCGAAGCGGCGGCCGCACACGGCGCAGCGGTGCGGCTTCTCCCCCGTGTGCACGCGTCGGTGCTTGGCCAGCGCCGAACTCTGCGCGAAGCGCGTGCCGCAGTCGGCGCATGCGTACGGCCTCTCGCCCGTGTGCGTGCGTCGGTGGCGCGCCAGGCACGAGCTGCCGCCGAAGGCGCGTCCGCAGTCCGGGCACGCGTACGGCTTCTCGCCCGTGTGCACGCGCAGGTGCTGTGCGTAGTTGGAGCTCTGCGCGAAGCGGCGGCCGCAGTGCGCGCATGCGTACGGCTTCTCGCCCGTGTGGCGCCGCCGGTGCTGCCGCAGGTTCGAGGCGGCCGAGAAGCGCTTGTCGCACTCGGGACACTCGTAGGGCCGCTCGCCCGTGTGCGTGCGGCCGTGTTTGGTCAGCGCCGACTTCTGCGAGAAGCGCCGACCGCACTCGGTGCACGCGAAGGGCCGCTCGCCCGTGTGCGTGCGTGCGTGCTTGGCCAGCGTGGAGCGGCGCGCGAAGGCGCGGCCGCAGTCCGGGCACGCGTGCGGGCGCGCCGGGTCGGCAGACGGCGCGGGCGCCTCCTTCTGGACCTGCGGGGAGAGGGGAGGAGGGACACGTCAGTCCTGAGGGCCGCGCGCGGGGGCGGAGGCCTGGGTGTCCGCAAGCTGCAGCCCCTCGGTCCCCGTTGTAAGAGCAAAGGCGGCCGTGCGCTTTAAACGAGAGTATGTTAACGCACGTATTAGGCGTCTAAGACAAGGCCCAGTGTCTTCCTAGCTATTCGTTATCAATTGGGCATATACTCACTCATTGAGCGTGTACTTTGTGCTGGACTCTGTAGGCACTGGGGATTCAACATTAAGTTAAAAAAAAAAAAAAAAAATCCTGGGCAGCCCGGGTGGCTCAGCGGTTTGGCGCCGCCTTCAGCCCAGGGCCGGATCCTGGAGACTCGGAATCGAGTCCCGCATCGGGCTCCCTGTGTGGAGCCTGCTTCTCCCTCTGCCTGTGTCTCTGCCTCTCTCTCTCTCTCTCTCTCATGAATAAATAAATAAAATCTTAAAAAAAAATCCTGCTTCAGGAAAAATTGATAGAGTGCTAGTATTGGGGCGGGGAGGGGGTGCTGCAAATTTAAATAGGATTGTTAAATCTTACTGATAACGTGAGCAAACACCTAAAGGACGTGAGAGAGCAGGCTACAGAGGGAACCACATGGCCCTGCGGGGAGTTTGCCCTTTGAGTTCCAGGAATGGCACCAAAAAAGTGCCTCAGGCAGAATGCTTGAGGGGAAGAGTGATGGATGGGGTGGTCTTGGAGCAGATCGCTTAGCTTAGGGCCAAGTAATATGAGTGAGACGGGGAACCAACAGAGATGTCAGATGGTTTGGAGCAGGGAGCGGAACAGATCAGACTCATTTTCAAAGTCACCCTCAGGTTGCTGGGGTTGAGAACAGAAAGGAGAGAAGAGGACAGAAGCAGGAACCCAGTGAGGAGGCTACAGTACTGCAGCCATCTCTGAAGAGAAGACAGTGGCTCAGACCCAGGTTACAGGTGGAAAGTGAAGGTGGTCGGCTTCTGGAAGTATTTTGCAATTTGAGAAACAGATTTAATAATAGATTGGATATGAAGTGTAATGAAATAGAGGGAGTCCAAATGACCAAGGATTTTTTTGAGTTTGGCCATTACAAAGGTGGAGTGGCGGGATCCCTGGGTGGCTCAGCGGTTTGGCGCCTGCCTTTGGCCCAGGGCGCGATCCTGGAGACCCAGGATCGAATCCTACATCGGGCTCCCGGTGCATGGAGCCTGCTTCTCCCTCTACCTATGTCTCTGCGCCTCTCTCTCTCTCTCTCTCTCTGTGACTATCATAAATAAATAAAAATTTAAAAAAAAATTAAAAAAAAAAAAACAAAGGTGGAGTGGCCATCTGTAGCAATGAAGGCATTGGGGAAGCAAGGTGGTAGTTGAAATTTGTTTCAGAGCATAACTGCAGTTCTCCTTGACACATCTGGAGCTGCAAGAGGCCTATGCTTGGAGATGTTTATTGGGAAGCTATCAGCCTATTGATGGTTTTTCAGGCTGAGTCCAGATGAGATCACCCCAGGAATGGGCAGAGAGAACATGGAGCAACAAGATGAATAACCAGCAAAGACTGGCAGGAGCAGTCAGTGAGGCAGGAGATCAAGGAGGGCATGATGTCTTAGAAGCCAGGCTGGGACCAAGTCCAGGCTCTTTGATAAACTTTTCAGAGCAAACACCTATCATTTTTTAAGTTGTGAAGAAAGCAAGGCCTGAAATGGAAAGTTTTGAAAACGAGCTGGTTTCATGAGGCCTGAGCCTCTAGAGATTTAAAAAAAAAAAAAAAAATGCTTTGTAAGAGGCAAGGGAAGAGGAAACATTTTTACTAAGGGAAGAGTGAAGAGGAATATTGGGGGCACCTTGCTCCCTTCTTAGAAAAGAGAATGCTCATCCCAGCAAAAGTGATAGTGAACACCTACCATGAACCAGACAGGTATATTAATTCATGACCAAATCAAATATTTGGCACACATTAAGGACAAGAAAGTGTTACCTTCTCCCCATATTCAATCTCCACAAAGAGTTATTACTATTCTCATCTAGATAAGGAAACTGTTACAGGGTGAGTGACAAGGACACTAAGGCTCTTAAGTTGCAAGGAGGACAACTTCAAGTCCTTTTTTTTTTTTTTTTTTTTTACAACTTCAAGTCCTTTGAGAACCGTTGTAAAGGGGATCCCTGGGTGGCTCAGCAGTTTGGCACCTGCCTTCAGCCCAGAGTGTGATCTTGGAGTCCCAGGATCGAGTCCCATGTCAGGCCTCCTGCATGGAGCCTGCTTCTCCCTCTGCCTATGTCTCTGCCTCTCTCTCTCTCTGTCTCTCATGAAAAAATAAATAAAATCTTTAAGAAACTGAAAAATAAGGCCGTTTGGGATATTAGTGACCAGCCAGGGGAATTCTGGCGATAACAGTGGTAACGTTATAGCGTAAGCTTTGACAGTGCTATCTTATGTATACTCTCGTACTGAAGCTCCTGTCACCCCCCTTGAATTGGGTATCTTTTGATAGCTGAGAAACAGAGGCTCAGTGAGGTGAGATTCACAAAGCCAAGGGGTGTCAGGACTGACTCTAGAGCACTCTCCTTTATTTTTTTTTTAATTTTTTTAATTTTTTTTTAATTTTTATTTATTTATGATAGTCACAGAGAGAGAGAGAGAGAGAGAGACAGAGAGAGAGGCAGAGACACAGGCAGAGGGAGAAGCAGGCTCCATGCACCGGGAGCCCCATGTGGGATTCGATCCCGGGTCTCCAGGATCGCGCCCTGGGCCAAGGGCAGGTGCCAAATCGCTGCGCCACCCAGGGATCCCTAGAGCACTCTCCTTTAACGATTAGACTACACTGCTTCCCCACACTAGCACAGGCAAGATGTGACAAAGGCTGGACTCCAAGTCCTTGATACTCTCCAAGAGGGATTCAAGGTTAAATTACAACTTGATACTTTAAAACAAGAAACTCCCCACAGCAGGGGTGCCTGAGTGGCTCAGTGGTTGAGTGTCTGCCTTCAGCCGGGGGCATGATCCTGGGGTCCTGGGATCAAGTCCCACATCGGGCTCCCTGCATGGAGCCTGCTTCTCCCTCTGCCTGTGTCTCTGCCTCTCTCTGTGTGTCTCTCATGGATAAATAAATAAAAATCTTAAAAAAAAAAGAAAAGAAAGAAAAACTCCCCACAACAGGTTTGGCAACAGTCTGATTTCAAAGTCATACTTTCCAATCTTGCCTGGGTTTTGACATCTGTTGGGTTTATTTGGACACATCAGCCATTGTAGAGAGACTTTTTCTCATTATATTTTCATTCTTCTGGCCCATTTTTCTTTGGCACCCTTATGTAAGATGATTTGGATGAGCCTGAGGGCTTCCATATGCTGGGTTCACTGATTTATGAGAAAGGAATTATTCATGTGAGTAGCCTTAGTATCTCCAACTTCAGGATGAGGGGCCTTGGATGCCCCAGGAAAATTTTTTGTTTTGTTTTGTTTTTTAGTAATCTCTACATTGAATATGGGACTCAAACACATTACCCTGAGATCAAGAGTTGCATGTTCTACCAACTGAGCCAGCCAGTAACCCTCCCGGAAAAATCTTGGTAAGACAGGCAGGGTCTAGCTCATTAAGACCCCAGGCAAGTCACTCCCTTCTCCTGTTTCACTGTCCCAAGGAAGGCTATGTGAGATCAAAATTTTCCAACTTGAGCATGCACACCACAAGATGCAAGAGGACTCTAGGTTATTATGTAGGGAAACTATCCTATTAAAATCATTATGTATTTATTTTCATGGACATAAGAAAAACAATAGATCACATAAAATCCACAATTCCATCATTATTATTATTTAGATGAAGGCAGATTTATTTTAAAAAGCGATGCAAATCTATCTGAAGAAAAGCAGTAAAGAGGGGCACCTGGGTGGCTCAGTGGTTAAGCATCTGCTTGTGTTTTTTGTTTTTTAAAGATTTATTTGTTTGTTTGTTTATTTATTTATTCATGAGAGACAGAGACACAGGCAGAGGGAGAAGCAGGCACCATGCAGGGAGCCCAATGTGGGACTCTATCCCCGGTCTCCAGGATCACACCCTGGGCCTGAAGGTGGCACTAAACCGCTGAGCCACCCAGGCTGCCCAAGCATCCGCCTTTGGCTCAGGTCATGATCCCAGGGTCCTGGGATCGAGTCCTGCATCAAGCTCCTCACAGGGAACCTGCTTCTCCCTCTGCCTATGTCTCTGCCTCTCGTGAATAAATAAATAAAATCTTTAAAATAAAAGAAAAGCAGTAAATAGATGAGCACAGGGATGCCTGGATGGCTCAGCAGTTGAGTGTCTGTCTTCGGCTCAGGGAGTGATCCAAGGGTCCAGGGATCAAGTCCCACATCGGGCTCCCTGCAAGGAGCCTGCTTCTCCCTCTGCCTATATCGCTGCCCCTCTCTCTGTATCTCTCATGAATGAATAAATAAAATCTTTAAAAAAAAATAGATGAGCACAACAAGTGATTGATATACATGTCATTGAAGCCTGGCAAATACCAAGTCAGTTGATCATTAAAGGCCCTTCCATATCTTAAATTCTACAACAGGTAAACTTAAATGTTAGAATGGTTTTTGGACCATAACAAGAGGGTACTATGAATATACAATCAATGTAATAATAGGAAAATCCAAGTTATTTGAAGTTTGTGATTTTGTCTTCCTGCTTAAATATATATTTTTTAAATCAGGCAAACATATCTGTTTCCCCCAGCCATTACTTTCCTAAATAAGAACAATAGCTACGGGACACCTGGGTGGCTCAGTGGTTGAGCGTCTGCCTTTGGCTCAGATTGTGATACCACAATCCCAGAATCGAGTTCCACATCGGGCTCCCTGCATGGAGTCTACTTCTCCCCCCTGCCTATGTTTCTGCCTCTCTCTCTCTGTGTGTCTCTCACACAGAGAAACACTTTATTATTATTTATAAATAAATAAAATCTTGAAAAAAAAAAAGCAATAGCTACCATTCACTGAGGATTCTCTATATGCCAAGAACTGCTCTAAGTGCTTTTTTCCCATGTTCTCATTTTAAACTCTCACAACCCATTGGGTTAGGTACCACCTGCTCAATTTTTGAACAAGGAAATAAGACTCAGCAGTAAAGTGATTACCCAAGGCCCTACAGCTCATCAATGGCAGTGGCAGGGTTTGAACTGAAAGTCTTTCCTTGTCCAAAATAGCTATTCTCTTATCCATGATGCAATTCTATCTCATTGACAAGTTTGAGATAACCTATACAGCTTGTCTCCCTCCCCTAGTCTTTTTTAGCAGTTAGAATCTCCCCTCTTTTCAGTACGAAGTATAAAATAATGACCCCATTCTCTTGTTCCTAGAGACAGGAATTGTGGCCTATAGATCAGCAACATCAGTGTCATTAGGAACGTATTAGAAATGCAGAATCTCAAGGTCCACCCCAGACCTGCAGAATTAAAATCTTCATTTTAACAAGATCACCAGGTGATTTGTATTATGCATGTTAAAAGTTAAGAAACCTAAAAAAAAAAAAAAAGTTAAGAAACCTGATCTAGAAGAGACAAGAGCTACTCCTGGAGAAAGCAAGGGGAAAAGGTGAAGAGGGTTTTACAGGCTGAGAGACCACATGGGCAAAGTCTTAAGAGATGAGAGAAACGGTCGAGTGTGTTTGAAGTCAGGGCATGGGATAGGTACTGAGTGATTAGAGATAAGACAGGACATGAGGTGGGATCGTCAGGAGCTTTGAATGCCAGGCTTAGGACCTGAGACTTTATCCTGAAGGAACAGGAAACCACTCAAGGTTTTAAGCAAAGAGACAGGATTGGATGTGCATAGAGCCCTCTGAGAAAATCTTTTCTAGGGGATCCCTGGGTGGCGCAGTGGTTTGGCGCCTGCCTTTGGCCCAGGGCGTGATCCTGGAGACCCGGGATCGAATCCCACGTTGGGCTCCCAGTGCATGGAGCCTGCTTCTCCCTCTGCCTGTGTCTCTGCCTCTCTCTCTCTCTCTCTGTGTGTGACTATCATAAATAAATAAAAATTTAAAAAAAATGAAAATCTTTCCTATTCATTAAAGATGGACTGGATTTTGATAAGCAGTGAGAGGATATTTCACCCCTGAGTGCGACATTATTAAGGCTTATGCTGGACAATAACTGACCAGGTGATAACAAAGAGTCACAGAATGTCAGTGTTGGAAAGAGCTTTTGAAATCACCATATCATAGAAACTGAGTCTCAGGGAGACCACACAGCAAATTAATGAGCTATGCTGTGGGCACAGTGCTAAATGTGCATGGGATATCTGTGTCCAATCCTCAATTCCAACCTCCACCCCCAAACCCAGTAACCCAGATGATACTTCTCAGACTGGCATTCGAGGACCTTAACTTTCATTACCCCTCTTTATAGATGAGAAAGCCGAGGCCAGGCTGGTAAATGGTGGTTAGGATTTGAATCAATGCTTTTCACTGCTACATAATACCGTTTAGAGTCTAGCCCTACATACTTTCAATGAATAGACATGCCCACTATGCCCACTCTCTACCTCCTTATCCTTACCTCCAGCCAGTGCTGTCAGGGTTCCCAAATATCCTTTCTCCACTGCTGTCACAACCTTAGAGCAAGCTATCAACTTTACTTGGCCTGGTCTCCCCATAGTAGCCAATGATTCTTCTAAATAGAAAACCCAGTTATGTCCCTCCTCCAATTTGAGGCTCTGTCTAAATTCGTATGCTGGCTTCCAAAGCCGTTTTACTATCTGGCTCCACCTACTTCTCAGGCCTCATCTCTTCTGAGTCTCTATGTTTGCTATTCCTCCTCCTGGGATGCCCTTTCTCCTTCTCCATTTGCCAAATCACCACTACGTCTTCATGGACCAAGTCAAGTCACCTCCATGAAGCCTTCCCCATTGCCTTGAGTTGTTTGACCTTAGTCACCTGCCTAGGCCTCCAGGCTGCCTTCCCTATTCATTCCCAGCTCCAGGGTTCAGCCCAGAAAGTTCTTTGATAAAAAGGAGTTGAAAAATCTCCAGAAGGATGACCTAGTGCAAGGTTCTGAACCATAGGGAGAAGAATGAATATCAGCAACAAATATTTACATAGTGTTTATTATGCACCAGACACAGTTCTAACTCTTTACAAGTACTAACTCATTTAGTCCTCACAACCTCAAGAGGTAGGTGCTGTTAAGATTTTCCTTTCACAAATGAGGAAACTGAGCCACAAAGAGGTTGACAAACTTACCCAGGGTCACAAAACTAGAAGGTTTTAGGGTGGGAAGTCCACCTAAGCTCTGGAGTCTGGGTGCTTTTTTTTCATGTATTTAAGGATTTCATATTTTTAAGTAATCTCTACACCCACCATGGGTTTGGAACCCACAACCTCAAAATCACGTATTGCATGTTCTACTGACTGAGCCAGCCAGGCATCCCTGGAGTCTGGGTTCTTAACTTATAGGCCAAAGGTGGAGATCAGGGGATCCACTGAGCCAGAAGAGGCAGGCTGAGCTAGGATGACAGGACAAGGAGGCCTGAGGAAAACGGAACTAAACAGTTATTTTGACTGGAATGGTGGCCAAAGCAGCCAGCCCCCTCCCCCTTGGGCCCACCACACCCACTAGGGGGCAGCAGAGCTGTCTTTCCCAGAGAACTGGCTCCTCGCAGGAAGAAATCAGCCTGCGCCCAGAAACCCCGCCCAACAGGAGTCTTCCAGTTGGACTCACAGCTCCTCTGGTTGGGGCTAAGAGTTCTATAGAGTTCTGGGAAGTAGAAACAGATCTGGTGGCACTTAGGATCGCCAATGGAGTAATCTAACTCATTCAGATCTCCTTAAAACTCCTTTCTTTAAAACTTCAAAATCCTCAGGATAAAACCCAGAGGTCCCACTCAGCCTGCCAACCACCCTACTCTCATCTATGCTACAGCGTGACTGAACCACCTGCCTTCACTTCTCCCAGTGCCCCACTTACTCCTCTGAGTAATGAATTGAATCCCTTCGAAATCTCAGATCCCCACTGGTCTCAGCTAAGCCATCCCTTTACTAACTTTGAGACCTTGGGTCAGTCACCAAACTGTCCAGTTTTCCAGGCCTGTTTCCTCACCTGTAAAATGGATCAGATACTATCTATATTACAGATTTGCAGTACTTAGAACAGTGTCTGGTGCAGAGCAAATGCCACTAAGAGTCAGCTGTTCCTGTTGCTGTTGCCTACCTAGCCACCCCTCCCCCCACCAGGAAGTGTGCATTAAGTTCCCAGCTCTGGGCTTCCACACCTCCTGTGCCTGCACCCATCACGCGGGATTGTAGCTGCGTGGTTACTCGTCAGTCTAATCCCGCTAGACATCAAGCTCCATGGGGAACCACGGAAACCCAGGAGAGCTGGCACAGTAGGTGTGACATCTGTATGATGGCAGCATGGGCAGTAGGGCAGAAGGATGGGCCACCAACCCTGAGATTCTAGGTCTCAGATTCAAAGGAAAGTAGGGGCTGGATCGCTGGCTTGTCTGAGGGAGGAGGACCTGACCAGACTTAAGGATAACCAGGCCCCCTGGTGCGGGACTCATACCTCTTTGTTGTCCATGGGGATCTTGAGTTTCACCACTTCATACTTCTCCTCACCCTCATCTTCCTCACCCTTCACCAACAGCACCATCTCCTCTTGCATCTCTTCCTCTTCCTCCTCCTCTGTCTGCTGTTCACCAGGCATCTTGGTGTCCTAGGGCGACGTGCTGGGTCAAAAGCTCAGGACTCGCACCCCCGTCCTACCCATCTACCCCCTAACCTCCGCCCCATGGCCCTGACCCCAGCAAGGCAGTGGAACCTTGGCTTTTCCCGCCCTGCCCTGCCCTCTTCCCTCACCCCAGCCCAGCCGCAGGACCAGCTCCTAAGGCACTCGTTCTCTCCACTCATCCCGGCATTCAAGGCCCTGAACAGTTCGAATCTCCAGCCCCAGCAAGTCGCCACCCTCCCCGCGCTGAGTCACTCCCCGGCGCCTGGGCCAGCGGTCCTGAGCTCTAGGGCACGGGCTGGGGGCGGGATCCGGCCGGAGACTCTGGGGGGCGCGCACTCACCAGCCGCAGATTCCGCGCTCCCACAGCCCCTGGCCAGGGCGCCGGGCGGTTGGGCACTCGGCGAGGCCGCGGCTCCGGGGGCGGGGTGGGGCGGGGCCCCGTCAACGGCCGTTCATTGGTCAGATCATCTAACCCCGCCCCTAAGGGGGAGGGGCCCGGAGGACCCAGGCGTCCGGCCAGAACTGCCCCCGGAGGGTGGCGAGCCCGAATCTGGCGCCCTCAGCTGTACCCCAACTCCCAGGGATCCCCGGGCCGACCCATCCCGGTGTCCAAGGTCCTCGCAGTCCAGTTGTAACCTACCTTCAAGGTTCGTCTCCTGTGGCCGCCTCTGAGGTCTCCGCTGCGGCCAGGCGCGTCTGCTCCGCCCAAAATAGGCCACGTGCGCTCCCGCCCCAGCCTGGGCCTCTCGCTGGCGCCCCGCCTGGAGGGCGGACCCTGTTGCCTGCTCACCTCTTCCCTTCCCTCTTTTTTCCTCTCCCATTTTTTCCTTCTTTCCCGGCTTTGCCTTCCCAACCTCCTTGTCTCTGGGGTGTCTTGCCCCTTGAATACGTACTTCCCAAATCAACAGCCACCCTAGCTACCGCTACCACTTACTGTGTGGTACGCTTCCTATGCGCATCACACTAAAGCGTTTTATACACCTTACCTTTGATCCGCGCAAGTGTGGGGGGGTCCATTTTACAGATGAGCTCATTGAACTTGAGGGAGATAAAACTGATTTGCCTAAGTTATACAGTAAGGGATGGGATAGCATCCCTGTCAACAAATAGCCTAAGTGGAAAATTAGTAGCCCAAATCCAGAAGGTCAAATCAGTCCACAGAAGTATCCTGTTTGACCCTAAGGATATTTTTACTTTTAAAAGTTAGTTTTTAAAAAATAGAGGTCTTTTACACATTTTAATCTCCCACATTTAAAAGTTGGGATATTTTGGGGACGCCTGGGTGGCTCAGTAGTTGAGCATCTGTCTTTGGCTCAGGTCCAGATCCAGGAGTCCCACATCAGATTCCCCACAGGAGGCCTGCTTATCCCTCTGCCTTTGTCTCTGCCTCTCTCTGTGTGTCTCACATGAATAAATAAATAAAATATTTTTTAAAAATGGGATATTTTGTATAAAGATCTGTATTTCTCACTTCTCTTGAAAAAGGTACCCATTTCTCCCATTTTATGAATGGGGCAACTAAGATTCAGAAAGGAAAGAAAAGAGAAATAACATTCAGTAAGTGCTTGTGATCCTTATGTCTCTTTATAACAGCCCTGTTGGGATCAATAATATTGTCTCCCACTGACAAATGAATCAAAGCTTAAAGAATTTAAGTAATTTGCTCAAAGTCACAAAGCTGGTAAGTCAAAGATTCCAACGCTCATGCTCTTTCTTTTGCACCAAATTATCTTTCAGAAATAAAAATTACATGAGGAAATTGGTGGCAGAGCCAGGACTCAAACTTGAGTCTCAGTCTTCAGAGGCCAGGGCATAATTCGGATGTTGGGATTACATCTGGTTCAAAATTTTTGCTTTTCCTCAGAGCAAGGAAAAGGGGTAAGTGCCTGGATACTTACACTCAAGATCTCCAATACCCACTTCGGTTGTGTGGGCCCTGCTATGTGCCTGGCACCATTCTAGGTATTGGCGATGCAGTAGTGAACAAAACAGACAAAAATCTTGGCTGCTATGGAACTTTTAAGAGTGTAAAAAATGTAAACAAGTAAATCAACAAGATGATTGCAGATAAAGAAATTAATAGGGCAAAAAAAAAGAAATTAATAGGGCAAGATGATACAATAGAGTGGCTGTAGTTGGCGGCTTATTTCTCCTGTTTTATTTTTATTTTTATTTTTTAGGGGGGGTGGAAGGAGAGGCAGAGGGAAATGGGAGAGACAGAATCTCAAACAGACTCCCTGCTGAGGCTGGAGCCACATGCTAGGCTCCTTCTTGAGACCCTGAGATCATGACCTGAGCTGAAAGCAAGAGTCAGGTGCTTAACCTACTGAGTCACCCAGGTACTCCTTGGGGGCTGCTTTATTGTGGGTAGGGAAGGCCTCTCTGAGGAAATAGTACTGGAAATAAATCTTGAATTATGAGAAAGGATTAGCCATTTGAAAATCTGGAGGAAATGTGTTCTAGACAGAACTGCAGAGGCCTAAGGTGAGAATAAGCTTGGCATATTTGAGGAACAGAAAGAAGGTTAGTGTGGCTAGAGCCAAGTGAATTAGCAAGGGGAAATGTAACATGAGAGATGGAGGAGAGGTAGGGAGGAGCCAGGTGGCTGGAACCCCACTTCAAAAGGCAAGACCTGCTTGCCCTGATTCAATCAGTGAGGAGACCCAGCTGGGAACAGTGAAAGTCACCATGGGAAGGGTCTCCAGCTATGGGAGGCTTGGAATAGATGCTTGCAGAAGGAGGAAAAGGACTTCTGTCCATTTGCTCTACGAACATGTACAAGTATATACCTGAAGTCAGATCTAGTTTCTGTTCTTAAGAATCTCATAGTCAAGAGGCACCTCGGTGGCTCAGTTAGTTGGTTAAGCGTCTACCTTCAGTGCAAGTCACAATCCCAAGGGTCCTGGGATGGAGCCCAGCGTCAGGCTCCTTGATCAGCGCGCTCTCTCTCTCTCTCTGTCAAATAAATAAATGAATAATCTTAAAAATCATAGTATAGTAAAAAAGATTGTGATAAAAAATATAAATATATATGAATAAATATAAATATATACATTATACATATGAAAGGAAAAGCTAAGATGAGGGAATAACTGAATAGCCCCCTTGGAAGGGAGTGGTTATTGGGTGCAGGCCTGGCTGAGGACATAAATGTGAAAGACCTTCAAAGATGAGTAGGAGTTGGCCATATTGACAAGGAGGTAGCAGCTTGAGGGACTCTGAAATCTTGTGAAGAGCACATCATGTTCCAAGGACACTGTTCATCAAAGTATTTAGTGAGGCTTGTTGTGTGCCAGGCTCCTGTTGGCACTGAGAGGTAGAAAGTTGAATTTGGAAAAGTCTTTATTCTACACCTCATTGCTCTGCATTTTGCTATTTGCCTTCAGACTCGCTAGAACTTTACTTCCGTTCTTGAATGCCCAAGGATTTAGGAGCATGCTCTTCTCTCTGCCTGGAAGACTCTGGCTCCTATACCATCCCCCACTCCTTTCTTAGCTTACTCCAAGTCAGTCCTTAGATCTAAACATAGCTGCCAGGCAGCCTGGGTGGCTCAGCGGTTTAGAGCCTGCTTTCGGCCCAGGGCGTGATTCTGGAGACCCGGAATCGAGTCCCACGTCGGGCTCCCTGCATAGAGCCTGCTTCTCTTTCTGCCTCTCTCTCTCTGTGTCTCTCATGAATAAATAAAAAAAAATGATAATAAAATCTTAAGAAATATAAACAGAGCTGCCACTTCTTTAGGGAGGCCTTTCAAACTGGTAGGATTCTCTTCTGTATGTATGGTTCCTGCATAGTCTTTCCTACACTAGTAATAATTTGTTCAAAGTCTGTGTTCTCCATAAACACTGAAGGCAGAGACTCTGTTTTATTCATCCTTCTATCCCCCATACCCAGCACAGGGTAGGTAATGTAGTTGAGTGATTATTTATCCTTAAGCAGTTCTTAGTTTCAAGTGCTCAGAAGTAGATTCTATATCAGGCTGGAAGTTCAGGGAAGGCTTCAGGAAGAAAGTCATCCTTGAAGTGTTCTGACTTGCAGATGTTAACAAGTGGGAGGGGGTAGAAGTGGGGATGAGCATTCCAGGGAAAGGAAGCAATATTTAAGAAGCGCAGGGCTGAAACCACACAAATGGAAGACCTTGAATACCAACCTGAATGCCGAGGAGTTAGGTTTTACAGAGGAGACATGTAGAGATATGGCAGGGTTTTTAATAGCGGAGTGAACAGATGTAATTTTACAAAGTTCACGGCAGGCGGGCTTGGAGGCCGACTGGTTGGCAGGGGAACACGGAAACCAGCAGGAGCGATGTTCCAAACGCCCGCAAAGGCCTCCATTCAGGCCTACGGGGGGCAGGGGGTGTGCACCTAAGGACCGAAGCCGCCAAGAACCCCAGGCCTGAATGCAACATTCTAGGGTTTCGAGTGTGTCTAACAAACTTGGCAGAGGTGGGAAGACCGGGAAGAAGTGCGCCGCAGGCGGCTTTCACTGGTTTCCAGGGAAGCCCGGCCGATGGTTCAGATCTCGCGAGAGCTTCTGAGGTGGGGGGCGGGGGGGGGCGTTCCCCCGCCGAGACTAGCAGAGACGCCCCGCTGGCTTAGTTGCCAAGCAGTCTCGTACTCCTTTCTTAGGTGGGTGAACTGCCCTCGTCTTTTTTGTCCCCGGCCAATCAGGTCAGTTCCTCTTTCCCTTCCTCCCTACTGGCGGCCTCCTCGGAAAAAGCCAGGAATTGGGAATCTTGCTTCTAGTGACGCGTGGGTCGCTGGGAAAATATGGTTGATTTTTCCAGAGGATAAAGAGGCATCCTCCCTTGGGACTATACAGTCAAGTGACCTGTTTCTCGACAAATAAAAAAGGGTCTCAGGGAGGCGGGGTTTCCCAGGAGGCAGAGCCTCAGCGTCGGGGACCTCTGCGCCTGCACCACACAGACGGCCATCTTCCCCACCTGTCGCCACAGCAACAGCGCTCACCGACCTGCCCCTCCGCTCCCCCGCGTCCCCCCAGCCCACCCCGTGGCGCCACGCGTTTTTCCTTTTAGGGGTTGCGCTGTACGTTGTGGCGTAGGTGGCGCCTGTGGGTACCCAGAACGCAGGTCTGGGGCATCAGCTGACAGACCTGGTGACCGTTTCTTTAAACCAGATGTCACAGCTAAAAAGCGGCGGCCTATTCCAACTTTTTTATTTGACGGGCTCAGAGGGCAAGAGACCCTCACAAGTTTACACATGGCTTCACCTGTGGTGAGGCTTTGACGTCTTTTCCACCCCTCACCCTGCACACACACACACACAAGCACAGAGTCCAAGTTTCAGACAAGAAAATTTATTGGTGAGGAGATACATGGAGATGTGGCTGTCCTGCCTTGGAGCTTCCCTGGCCTCTCCTCACTCCAGTCCTGCTCGTCTCCCTGCCAGTTTGTCTCTGCTGATGTCCACCAGGACCTGGGCTTGGCATGGAGCGTAGGACCTTCTGCGGTCTCTGGTCCATTCTGCCAGTGTCCAGGTGTCAGGGCGGGTTGGGGTTCTCCAGGCAGATAAGATCTGGGCTGTCCAAGGGTGTCCCACTGGCTGACCATGTCTGGTGGCCTGAGCCTGGGTACTGCGATCCACAGAGCAAAGCTCTTCCCATCAGAAGGTTCAAGATGCCCCTGCCTTTCTACCACCCGAAACTCCTTCTTAAGTCTTACTGTTGCAGTTGATAAGGTCAAACCAACCCTGTTTGGTGCTGGCCAGGGTGCTGGTCTCCTAGGGGCAAGGTTGTGTGGGATCAATTCTTAACAGGTTAAGAGGCAGCAGATTTTAGAGTTTTTTAAGGGCCCTCAGGCTAAGGCCAGTTTATTCATTCAATAAGTATTAAGTGCCTACACTATTCAGAATATGAGGCAGTGTTCTAGAAGCTGGGGGTATAGACCACACTGTCAAGGTCCTGACTGAGCCCAGCCAGGACAGTTTCCTGAGCTTCAAGGTCATTGTCTCCAATCTCTATTTCTAACTATTCACTCCTTTCTCCCATTTCTTCCCCTCTTCTCCCTCCCACCACCTCCCCGGCCCTTTATTTGCTGCTTAAGCAGCAGATACCCTCCCTTTGGTCTCCTGGGCTTCCACCTTCCCTGGACCCTATTACTCCAGTCCTGTTGGTGGCTCCTCCTTGAGGGGCCTTGACTGACCATCCCCTGTCCCGAAGGGCCTCAGGACCAAGTGCCCACGCTGGTGCTTGATGCGGGCCGAACTGTCACCAAAACCTTTGCCACACTCTGCACACTTATATGGCTTCTCCCCAGTGTGTGTTCGCCTATGTTTGACCAGATCTGAACTCCGGGGAAATTCCTTCCCACAGAAGCTACACACATGGGGCTGGCTGGGTCCAGAGGGCTGGGCTCGGACTCGGGGTCGAGAGGCTGTGGATGCTGGGCCAGGGGGGTTATGTGGCCTCAGGAGAGTGGATGGTGGTGGCGGCCGAGCCCGTTCACCTCGGTGGGTGCGGAGGTGCTTGACTCGGGCCGAGCTGTCAGCAAAACCCTTGCCGCATTCAGGGCAGAGGTAGGGCTTCTCCCCTGTGTGCACACGATGGTGTTTCACCAGGTCCGAGCTTCGGCGGAAGCCCTTGCCACACTCAGGGCACTTGTGTGGCTTGTCACCTGCCAGGGGTGGGGGAGGCTCCCCAGCCTGTGGGCCCCCAGGCTCTGGTTCCAAGCCAGGCAGGCCAAAAGGCCCATCACCTGAGTGTGAAGGGCTTCGAGGTGTCAGAGGGGGGCTCGTGCCAAGAGGAGGTGGGGGTGGGCTTGAGCTGGGGGGTGGGCTGGGGATCAGGGGAGCCAAGGGATAGCCTGGGAAGCTGAAGTCCTGGGGCTCCATATGAGTGAGGCGGTGGCGGAGAAGGGTGGAGCTGAGGCTGAAGGTGCGGTCACATTCAGGGCAGGCGTGAGGCCTCTCCCCACTATGGGTGCGGAGGTGTTTGACCCGGGCAGAGCTGTCAGCAAAGCCCTTGCCACACTCAGGGCATAGATAGGGCTTCTCTCCTGTATGCACCCGCAGGTGCTTCACCAGGTCTGAGCCCCGGGCAAACTCCTTTCCACACACATCACAGCCAAAAGGTTTGGGCCCCAAGTGACTGCGCTGGTGGCTCAGAAGGCTGCAGCTGAGCACAAACCTTTTACCACAATCGGTGCAGATATATGGCTTGTCCTGGGCCTTGGGCCCCTGTGTGGCTGCTGTGGCTGCTCGAGAAGGCTGCTGTCTGGGCACCACGGGCCGGGGAGGCTGCTCCCCCCGGTGTGTCCGCTGGTGCTTTATGCGAGCAGAACTGTCACCAAAGCCCTTCCCACAGATGCCACACTTGTAGGGTTTCTCACCCGTGTGTGTTCGCTGGTGTTTCACCAGGTCAGAACTCTGCCGGAAGCTCTTGCCACATTCACCGCAAATAGTGGGGCGCTCACCAGCCGGGATCCTGGATCGAGGAATCTTTGGGGGGCCTTGGGCTGGTGGCCGAGCTCTGTAGGGTTTTTCACCACTATGAGTTCGCTGGTGTTTGATACGGGCAGAGCTATCCCCAAAGCCCTTGCCACACACCGCACACTTGTAGGGTTTCTCCCCAGTATGGGTCCGCTGGTGTTTCACCAGATCTGACATCTGCCGAAAGCTCTTGCCACACTCACCACACACGGCAGCCCGATCACTAGCCTGGCCCCAACGTGGCTCTCCCAGGAGCCGGGGACCTCCGTCCCGAGCCTGAGGTTTTCCTGGTACCTCTCTCTGGACCCACAAGTCATCCCAGGTCTGGATGCCTTCAGGTTTGAGAGAGGCATTTCCTACTTCATGACCTGGGGCCAAATCTTCCTCTTCCTTGAACCCCAAGTCATCCTCCTGGGGGGTATGTTCAAACTCATCCGGCTGAGAAATCTCCACATTCTCACTCCCTATACCTGGGGAAAGAAAAGGGAATAGTAGACCCTGCCCTTTGGCTCAGCCCCTATCTTTGATAGCAACTTCCCCAGGAACTCTTCCTTGACAATCTGTGGTTACAAGGATGTCTCTCTTCTCTAAACTTCTGAAACACTTATTGCTGCATCTCATTAACAATTGGTAATTTATAACACGCCCTTAATATGTGCCAGTCACTGATCGAAGCATCACTGAAGACTTGCAAACAATGCTATTAGATATTCCTCCTCCTCCTCCTACCATTTTATAGAAATGAACACTCAGACAGACAATTTAAGTCACTTCTCAAGGTTATAAAGGTTAGAAAGGAGGGACACCCGGGCGGCTCAGCAGTTGAGCGTCTGCCTCTGCTCAGGGCGTGATCCCAGTCTGGGTATCAGGTCCCGCATAGGGCTCCCTGTGGGGAACCTGCTTCTCCTTCTGCCTGTATTGCTGCCTTTCTCTCTCTCTCTCTCTCTGTCTCTCATGAATAAATAAACAAAATCTTAAAAAAAAAAAAAGGTTAGAAAATAGCAAAGTCACATTTTTAACTCAGGTCTGTCCAATTCCCAAGCCTGTGTTAACGATGCATGAACAATATACTGTCTCTGTTTGAAAAATTTAATATTTGTTATTTCTCTTATACCTTTTTTTTTTTTAAAGATTTTATCTATTTATTCATGAGAGACAGAGAGAGGCAGAGACACAGGCAGAGGGAGAAGCAGGTTCCCCACAGGGAGCCCGATGCGGGACCTGATACCCAGACTGAGATCACGCCCTGAGCAGAAGGCAGACGCTCAACTGCTGAGCCACCGGGGCGTCCAACTCATTTTTTTTTTAAAAGAATTTATTTATTCATGAGAAGGCACCGAGAGAGAGGCAGAGACACAGGAAAAGGGAGAAGCAGGCTCCATGCAGAGAGCCTGATGCAGGACTCAATCCTGGGACCCTAGGATCACGCCCTGAGTCAAAGGCAGATGCTCAACTGCTGAGCCACCCAGGCGTCCCAGGGTGCCCCTCTCTCATATCTTCTTATATATTAGCTCATTCTGTAATTTATTACTTCATTCACCTTGTGTGTACCTGAGAGGACCCAGACACACACCTGTCCCTCAAAATGCGTAGGGTTGGTAGAGAGATAAGATCAAGCACAAATAATTATAATTGTGGGCTCAGAATAACTGCTCTCAGGAGAGAGAATAAATAAGGAGATAGGGCCAAGTTTTCACAGCACAGAAAAGAGTAAACCATGGAGAGGAATGGAAGATAAAGCTGGAAAGGATGTTGGGATTAGATTAAGCATGTAAGGCCCAGACCAAACACTAGGCTAAGGCTTTTGATTCCTAGGCAGAAGGGAGCTAGGGAAGGTGTCTGAGAAGGAACCAGGATTAAATGTGGACTTGGATCAAGGTGGCTGCTGAGTGCATCACTGAAGAGAAAAGGGATGTGGGGAGGCTGTTGCAATTGTCAGGATGAGATAAAACGAGCCCTGAAGTAGGGCACAGGCGGTGAAGCTGGTGATGACTGTCCAGGAGCCCGGAGAGTCCTTAAGATGAAGCCCCTCAACCACCTGACGCACAGTAGGTGCTCAGAAACGCTAGCTCCCTAACCTTGGCTTTTCCTCCCCTCCCCCTCCCTCTGGAAGCACAGTTCATGTCCGATTTTTCTAGGTCTCGGCTAAACAGAGCCCGGCACCGGAGTCCCCACCCGGCCTTTACCTGCTCCTGGCGGCGCACCGCCCCGGGCCTCACCTGTGCGGGCGCTTCTCAGCTGCTCCCTCTCCTCTACGCCCTGGAGATCCGGGCCCCAGGGCTCCACCGCGCGCTCCATCGCCCGCACGCCGCCCTGAGCAAGGGGACAGACACAATCCCACGGTCACACAGCCATGTGCGGCCCGCGGCGTCCTGCCGCTGCCCTCTGCCGGTCAGCACGGGCACCGGACAGCGGCCGGGTCCGAGGTGCGGGGCGCGGTCCCCGGTGACCCCCGCCCGCGCCGCCGGCCGCCCCTGCACCTGCTGTTCCTTCCGGCCCGCAGCGCCCCCTTCTCCAACTGGCCGCCTCCGACTATGCCACCCCGGCGCCCTCGCGAGCTCCTCGGCGGGGCTCCGCTGCCCGAGCCGCCGGCGGCCCCGGGACGCGGGCTCCGCGCCAAATGGGGAGGGGGCTCGGACCCAGGCGTCCCGGGGGCGGCCGCCGGGGGCGGGGACGGGAAGCGGAAGCGCGGGGCCGCACCGAGCCGCTCTAGGACCTGGGAGGAGCTGCATGCCTGTGGGGGCCGCCCGCGTCCTCCCGAGCTCGGTGGCCGGCGGGAGGCCGCAAGTCGCGGACAGGGCTACTCTAAGCCGAGGACAGTTGCCCGAACTCGGTGGTATTAACCATGTACCTGCTGGGCTGGAGCCGGGTGATGAGGGCCGAAGACTCTTCCTAATTGTCGCTGTGTGGGGCCACCCGCGCCGATCTCCGGGGCTGGCCGACCGCGCCAGCCACCCCGGTCCGGAGAGACAAAGAGAGATCCGAAGACTGACCCAGGGAAAGGGGTGGGGGAGAGACCAAGGCAAACAAAGGGCGGCGGAGGGCGGCGGAGACCCCAGACGGGGCGGGGGCGGGGCGCTGAGATGCAGGAAACAAAGCGCGGCCGGTCCGAGAGGCCTAGGGCCGGGGGTAGGGTGGGAAGGGGGGCTGGGCTAGGGGAGACCGAGGCCGGAGCAGCCGGTAGAGGGGTGGGGAGGGGGCTGGGCTAGGGGAGACCGAGGCCGGAGCAACCGGTAGAGGAGTGGGGAGGGGGTTGGGCTAGGGGAGACCGAGGCCGGAGCAGCCGGTAGAGGGGTGGGGAGGGGGTTGGGCTAGGGGAGACCGAGGCCAGAGCAGCCGGTAGAGGATTGAGGCCGGCGCCAGAGAAATGATGGGGAGAGGGGGCCAGTTGAAATCAGGCCAGGGGCCTGGAGCGGAGACCCTGAGCCAGAGACTCACCAAGTCGTAACCCAAGAGCCCCGAGTCAGAGAGGACACAAAGGCAGAGAGAGACCGAGAGACAGCGGCAGCCCAAAAAATATAGGAGCAAAAGCTTGGCCGCCGAAGACAAAGAGATGTAGAAACAAGAGATAGATACAAAGTCACTGAAGCACAGTCGGAGGAGCTATAAGAAGAGGAAGGGAGGGACGCCTGGGTGTCTCAGTGGTTGAGCTTCTGCCTTTGGCTCAGGGCGTGATCCTGGAGTCCTGGGATTGAGTTCCACATCGAGCTCCCCGCAGGGAGCCTGCTTCTTCCTCTGCCTGCGTCGCTGCCTCTCTCTCTGTGTCTCTCATGAATAAATAAATAAAATCTTTAAAAAAAAAAAAAAAAGAGGAAGGGAATCTGGAGAGAAGCAGGCCCAGAGGCAGAGGAACAAAAGACAGTGAAACAGGCAGAGACAAAGAGAGACACAAAGAAAGAGGCTAGGGGACAGGTCGACAACCCCACAAAGGCCAAACCCAAGGAGGAGAGCCTAAAACATTAAACCCTGGTTTCCAGTTTGGTGCCACCATGGCTGAGTCTGTGTTCCAGGGGACCTGGGGTGTGATCCTCGGTATCTGTACTCTGAGCCAGCTTGTCTTTGGTGAAGAGGGGAGTGCCTGAGAGATGATCTGATGATAGGGAGGGGTGACAGATTTGTATATTAATTCACATTTAATTAGCACCTTAATGCAAAGCCAAAAGTTTGGGATAAAGATGAAACACATGTAAGATTCGTCCTTGGATGCTACCAGTTTGCAGGGGCAAGCATGCCAATCATGAAAAAGAAAAGAATTATAGGGGCATGAAAAAGTTACATGCACCAGTAAAAGAGTGTGGGAAGGCAGGAAGAATTCTAAGCTGTGGGAATGGGTCAGCGTAGTTCTGGGTGTCTGGTAGGCATGGATGTTAGACACTGACATCAATCAGCACACACTTATGGATCATCAATATCTAGATGCTGTCTAGGCCCTGAAAATACAAAACTCCTTAGTCCAGTAGAAAATGGAGATATGCAAGTGGTGAGACATTTTTTTTTAAGATTTTATTTATTCATGAGAGACACGGAGGGGTAGAGAGGTAGAGACCTAGGCAGAGAGAGAAGCAGGCTCCATGAAGGGAACCAGATGTGGGACTCTATCCCGGTACTCCAGGGAACCAGATGTGGGACTCTATCCCGGTACTCCAGGATCATGCCCAGAGCCAAAGGCAGACGCTTAACCACGCAGCCACCCAGGCATCCTGATGAGACAGATTCTATACCAACCTGATGAACAAAATATGATAGGAGTGCAGTGCAGAGAGAGAGAGACCTGTAGAGTTTAGTGGCTGTGGACTCTGCCTTTAAAGCCATTCCTGCAGGCTGATTCCTGACCTTGTCATTTACTATTGTTTGACCCTAGGGAAATTACTTCTTTTCCTAAACTGTAAAATGGGGAGGATAATAGCCAATTTGAATGGTTCAGGATTAATATGTGTTGTATGCGTAAAGTGCTTAGCCAAAGATAACAGCTTTTTACTTTTTTGGGTGGAGCAACCAAGAAAGAAGATGGCATTTTTGAGCCAATCCTTTCAGAACAGCTAAGGTTTCAGCAAAATCCAGAGTGGGCTAAAGTGGGGGCTGAATGAAGAACTCAGGCAGAGGGAATGAAATGAACAGTTGCTTACACACTATTTGAAAACCTACTACGTGCTAGAAGCCTGAGATCCAAAGATGGTGAAGACCTATCCTTAAAGAGAAAAACAGAATAGTTGTGTTTTAATGTGTCATGAGTTTACATAATAGGAAGGCAAAGGAAGCTGAAGATAGAATGATACGTTTAGTTGTATTCTGGGGGCCCACCATGTGCCAGCTCCTTTTTTTTTTTAATTTTATTTATTTATTTATGATAGTCACAGAGAGAGAGAGAGAGAGAAGCGGAGACAAAGGCAGAGGGAGAAGCAGGCTCCATGCACTGGGAGCCCGACGTGGGATTCGATCCTGAGTCTCCAGGATCGCGCCCTGGGCCAAAGGCAGGCGCCAAACCGCTGCGCCACCCGGATCCCGTGCCAGGTCCTTGTGATGGAAAACAGAGATAAGGGGGTACCAAATGGCAAAAAGCCAGCCACTCTTGGAGAACCTTCTGAAAGGTGGCCAGTCTGTATACCATACTCACTCACAGAACTAGCTAGAGAAAGCCTGGACTTCTTAGGTCTGAACCTGAATTCGGATCAAAAGATACAGAAGCCCTTCCAGGGATGCCTGGTGGGGCCATCAATAGCTATGCAGGTTTAATGGCAAGATGAAAAATAAATAATCCAGATAATTAAATGAGAAAATACCTATCTACCATATACTGCCCCATAGGAATCTCAAGGTAGGATCTTCCTTTCTCTGAGCAGGCCCCAAACCTTATTGTATGGATGATTAGACATAATTTGTTGGAGTAATAAGCATGTAAATGAATATTGTGTCACTAGTAATTCATGTCATCTCTGCAAGCTAAGAGCCTGTTCTTTATGCAACTTGTTAATATTCACAAATGCCGGGGATCCCTGGGTGGCGCAGCGGTTTGGCGCCTGCCTTTGGCCCAGGGCGCGATCCTGGAGACCCGGGATCGAATCCCACGTCGGGCTCCCGGTGCATGGAGCCTGCTTCTCCCTCTGCCTGTGTCTCTGCCTCTCTCTCTCTCTGTGACTATCATAAATAAATAAAAGTGTTAAAAAAAATATTCACAAATGCCTTAAATATGTGACTTCCTTTGACTCAGTAATTCACCTTATAGAAAGGCCTAAGGAAATGGTTGGACAAGTACACAATGATGGCACCACAAACATGTCCATCCCAGCTCAGCATTATCACTGGGAAAAATGGGAATCAATCTAAATACTAAACTTTTATAAAAATGATGATATATATGACCAATAGACATGAAAAGATGCTCGACATCACTGATCATCAGGGAAATGCAAATCAAAACTACAATGATATTTTACCTCACACCTGCCAGAATGGCTAAAATCAGCTACACAAGAAACAAGTGTTCACAAGAAGGTGGAGAAAAAGGAACCCTCATGCACTATTGGTGGGAATGCAAACTGGTGCAGCCACTGTGGAAAACAGTATCAAGTTTCCTCAAAAAGTTAAAATAGAACTATCCTGCAATCCAGCAATCCCACTACTGGATATTTAACCAAAAAATATAAAAACATCAAAGGGAAACATGTACCCCAATGTTCATAGTAGCATTATCCACAATGGCCAAATTACAGAAGCAGCCCAAGTGTCTATTGATAAATGAATGGATAAAGAAGATGTGGTGTGTATATATAATGGTTATTACTCAGCCATAAAAGAATGAAATCTTGCCTTTTGCAGCAACATGACGGAGCTAGAGTATAATGCTAAGGGAAATAAGTCAATCATAGACAAATATTGTTTCACTCACGTGGAATTTAAGAAAACAAGCAAAGGGGAAAAAGAGAAACAAGCCAAGAAACAGACTTTTAATTATAGAGAACAAATTGATGGTTATCAGAGGCAGAGAGGGACTAAACAGATGATGGGAGGCTAAGGAGTGAATTTGTGTTGAGCACTAGGTGATGTATGGAATTGTTGAATCATGTTGTATACCTGAAACTAATAACACTGTATGTTAGCTGGAATTAAAACAAAACTTTAAAAAAAAAAGAAAAAGAAAAACCACTCTATATCAAATTGTTAAATGTCATCCTCATAAAAATAAATGAATGTTAAAAATTATAAATATTTATTATAGAAAGATATATAGAACATATGCAGTGATAAAAATGATTCCAAAGTTATAGTATGATCCTAGTTTTGTAAATATGTTTATTCATATTTAAAGGGATGAGAGAAAATCTAGAAGGATAAAAATCAAAATGGGGTTATATTATGGTAGTGATATTAGATGCATATATATTTTTTAAGATTTTATTTATTCATAAATAAATTCATAAATAAAATGAATACTACTGTGTTACATACTGTGTTCTTACAATAAAATAAGCTGGAGAAAGGAAAATGTTATCAAAATCATAAGAAGGATGCCTGGGTGGCTCAGCCAGTTAAGCATCTGATTTTGGCTTGGGTCTTGATCTTGGGGTCCTGGGATTGAGTCCCGTATTGAGTCAGGTCATGATATTGGGGTCCTGGGATTGAGTCCAGTATTGAGCTCCTCATCATCGGGGAGTCCGCTTGTTCCTCTCCCTCTGCCCCTCCCCCTCCTCCTGTGCTTGTGCTCTCTCTCTCAAATAAATAAAAATCTTTTAAAAAGGTGGGGGGGGGATCCCTGGGTGGCTCAGCGGTTTCGCGCCTGCCTTTGGCCCGGGGTGCGATCCTGGAGACCCGGGATCGAGTCCCACGTCGGGCTCCCGGTGCATGGAGCCTGCTTCTCCCTCTGCCTGTGTCTCTGTCTGTCTGTCTCTCTCTCTCTCTCTCATAAATAAATAAAAATAAATCTAAAAAAAAAAAAGTAGGGGTGCCTGGGTAGTTCAGTTGGTTAAGCATCTGCCTTCTGCTCAAGTCAGGATCATGAGGTCCTAGAATTGAGCCCCAGTATCAGGCTTCCTGCTCAGTGGGGAATCTGCTTCTCTCTTTCCCTCTGCCCCTCCCCCAGCTCATGCTCTCGTGTGCTCTCTCTCTCTCTCTAATTAATAATAAATGAAATCTTTTAAAAAATAAATTAAAAATTTAAAAAAGAATATCATGGGATGCCTGGGTGGCTCAGTGGTTGAGCATCTGCCTTTGGCTCCAGTCGTGATCCTGGGGTCTTGGGATGGAGTCCTGCATTGGGCTCCCCACGGGGAGCCTGCTTTTCCTTCTGCCTGTCTCTGCCTTTCTCTGTGTGGGTTTCTCATGAATAAATAAAACCCTTTTTTTAAAAGAGTTTTTATTTATTTATTCATGAGAGACACACACAGAGAAAGGCAGAGACACAGGCAGAGGGAAAAGCAGGATCCCTGCAGGGAGCCCTATGTGGGACTCAATCCCAGGACCCCAGGATCATGTCCTGAGCCAAAGGCAGATGCTGAACCACTGAGCTACTCAGGTGTCCCTAAATAAATAAAATATTTTTAAAAGAAAAGAAAATCATAAGAGAAAAATACCTTTATAGTACTGTATTCATTGAAAAAAAAATCTGCATACAAATGGACACCCCACCACCACCACCACCATCATCACAGTTGAAAGCTGTGTTGTTCTGGGGTCAAACGTACTCCTGGAGTGCAAGGGGGGAGGAGCTCAGAGTTTTAATTAAGACTTTAGGCCTGCTCAGCTTGATAAGAAATGCAGGAGGAAGGGTTTTGGAGTGAGGAGGGGTATAATTATCCCTTCCCTTAGCTTCTCGAAGTCCTCTGTTTATCTCCTTGTTCCACTACATTTTTAGCACCAGTGCTCTGTGACACACTTACCTGTGGCTGTCTCTGGCTCCCCAGAGGGCCGAAACCCTGACTGATTCACTGTCTACATCCTCATCAAGGGGCAATCACTAGATTTGAGATGGTGGCACTGTCACACCCCTCTGCCCAAGTAATGCTAGCAATAGCTAGCATTTTCTGTGGGAGCTCATCTCATATATTGGATACTGAACTAAGAGCTTTATGTCTATTAGGCTGTAAAATCCCCATTGTGACCCTAAGCGGTAGAATTATTAATTTAATATTTAAGGGATGCCTGATAGCTCAGCAGTTGGGGGTCTGCCTTCAGCTCCGGGCATGATCCAGGAGAACTGGTATGGAGTCCCGCATCGGGCTCCCTGCATGGGGCCTTCTTCTCCCTCTGCTTCTGTCTCTGCCTCTCTCTCTCTGTGTGCCTCTCATGAATAAATAAATAAAATCTTTTTTAAAAATTATTTATTTATTCATGAGAGACACAGAGAAAAAGGCAGAAACAGGCAGAGGGAGAAGCAGGCTCCCAATGGGGAGCCTAATGCGGGACTGAATCCTAGGACCCCAGCCTGAATGAAAGGCAGAGGCTCAAACACTGAGCCACCCAGGCGTCCTGAGCATGCAACTCTTGATCTTGGGGTCATGGGTTTGAGCCCCATGTTGGGTGTAGAGATTACTTAAAAAAAAAAAAAAAAAAAAAAAAGCTTTAAAAAAGCTTTTAAAAAATAGTGCTGGGGACGCCTGGGTGGCTCAATGGTTGAGTGTCTCCCTTTGGCTCAGGGTTTGATCCTGGAGTCACAGGATGGAGTCCCATATCAGGCTCCCTGCATGGGGCCTGCTTCTCCCTCTGCCTGTGTTTGCCTCTTTCTCTGTGTCTCTCATGAATAAATAAATACCTTTTTTTTTAAAGATTTTATTTATTTATTCATGAGAGACACACAGAGAGAGGCAGAGGGAGAAGCAGGCTCCCAATGGGGAGCCTGATGCAGGACTGAATCCTAGGACCCCAGCCTGAACGAAAGACAGACGCTCAACCACTGAGCCACCCAGGTGTCCTGAGCATGCAGCTCTTTATCTTGGGGTCATGGGTTTGAGCCCCATGTTGGATATAGAGATTACTTTAAAAAAATTTTTTTAAAAAGCTTTTAAAAAATAGTGCTGGGGGGCAACCCCAGTGGCACAGCAGTTTAGTGCCACCTGTGGCCCAGGGTGTGATCCTGGAGACCTGGGATAGAGTCCCACATCCGGCTCCCTGCATGGAGCCTGCTTCTCCCTCTGCCTGTGTCTCTGCCTTTCTCTCTGTGTGTGTGTCTCTATGAATAAATAAATTTTAAAAATCTTAAAAAAAAATAGTGCTGGGAAAAAAAAATAGTGCTGGGGACGCCTGGGTGGCTCAACGGTTGAGTATCTCCCTTCAGCTCAGGGTGTGATCCTGGAGTCCCATATCGGGCTCCCTGGGGGAGCCTGCTTCTCCCTCTGCCTATGTCTCTGCCTCTCTCTCTGTCTCTCATGGATAAATAAATAAAATTTAAAAAAATAGTGCTGAATGAAAAAGTTAACAAATATGCATTCATATATATAATCATTTGTGTAAACATGCACTGTATACTACACATTTTTCATTTTTTTAAGGTTTTTCTTTTATTTATTTATTCATGATAGACAGAGAGAGAGAGAGAGAGAGAGAGAGAGAGACACAGGCAGAGGGAGAAACAGGCTCCATGCTGGGAGCCCGATGTGGGACTCGATCCCGGGACTCCAGGATCACGCCGTGGGCCAAAGGCAGGTGCTAAACTGCTGAACCACCCAGGGATACCCGCTACACATTTTTCAAAATGCATACACACCAAAAAATTGCATACAGTAGCACATTAGGGTCCTGGGATGGAGCCAGGCTTTGGGCTCCTGCTCAGCTGGAAGACTGCTTCGCTCTTTCCCTCTGCTGCTCACTTGCTTGTGCTCTCTCTGTCTCTCAAATACATAAAATCTTAAAAAAAAAAAAAAAAAAAAAAGAATCCCTTGCATTAATCCCACCTGGGTGGCTCAGTCAGTTAAGTGTCTGCCTCCAGGTCAGGTCATAATCTCAGGGTTCTGGGATGGAGCCCCCCCCCGCCCCCCCCCCAACTGGGCTCTGCTCAGTGAGGAGCCTACTTTTCCCTTTTCCTCTGCTTGCCACTCTATGTACTTGTGCTTTTTCTCTATCAAATAAATAAATAAAATCTTAAAAAAAAAAGAAAAAGAAAAAGAACCAATTGCATGGGGAAAAAAATGAAGCAGGGGCACCTGGGTGGCTCAGTGGTTGATCATCTACCTTCAGCTTAGGGCGTGATCCTGGGATTCTGAGATTGAGTCCTGCATTGGGCTCCCCATCCAGGAGCCTGCTTCTCCCTCTGCCTATGTCTCTGCCCCTCTGTCTGTGTCTCTCATGAATAAATGAATAGAATCTTTAAAAAAAAATCAGTTGGATGAGCTGGTAAGGAAAACTGATGGCCCCTTCCACCCCTAATCCTGTTAAGACTTTTGGTCCACTTAGACTCTGGGAACTTTTTTTTTTAACCATCTCAGTCAAAGCCTCATCTCACTTGCTAAAGACACCAATCTGCTTCCTTCCTCTCTGCCTATACCCCACCTCTCACCAGGGTGATGGGGTCACAGTGGGGGCTTGGAATAAGGGTGTGCAGAGAACTGAGGTGTTGAAGCTTCCCAAGAGGACATAGCCAAGGGATCCAGAAAGTGAGAACTCCCAGGTTTTCTTGGTCTTGGCTTTCCCCACCAGTTCGAGCATCTCAGCTTCCTACATTGCCCGCCCCCTTATTTGCCACACTCAACTTCCTGCCCCACTAGAGGAAGTGGGGAGAGACAGCAGGTGCAGCGACAGCTAGCAGGGCCATGGTAAGTCCTTCTGCCCAGGAATACAGGCATCTTTGCCCTCAGCCCCCAAACCCCGGAGTAGCCAGGCACAAGTCAACCCATGGTAGGCTGACTTCTCCTCACTCCCAAGGAGAAGTCAGCTTACACTGGGGGCCCTGCCTGCCGCTCCCAGCAGCCTCATACTGTCTGCCCCCTAGCAACAGGACAAGGAGTATGTGGGTTTCGCCGCCCTCCCCAATCAGCTGCACCGCAAGTCCGTCAAGAAGGGCTTCGACTTCACACTCATGGTGGCAGGTCCGATGGGTTTGGGACAGGGGACTGGGTCCTCAAGAGACCCTGGCTGTCTCCTCACCTGACCAGGTGGGTCTGTCCTGTCCACAGGGGAGTCAGGCTTGGGAAAATCCACCCTCATCAACAGCCTGTTTCTCACCAATCTCTATGAGGACCGGCAACTGCCAGAGGCCAGCGGTAAGACCCTCCTGTCCTCTCCAGGTCCTCTGTCTCCCCTATCCCCAGGTGGCACTCATCTGGGTCTCCCCTGACTTCTGGGGGGCACTCAGGTAGCTCAGTGCTTTTCTGAGACTCCCCTGAAAAAATGGGTGGGGGCAACTGGGATTCTGAGAAAGGAAACCTGGCTCAGACCCCTGCGAAGCTCCCTGACCACTTCTGATCCCCACAGCTCGCTTGACACGAACACTGACCATCGAGCGCCGGGGTGTGGAGATCGAGGAGGGGGGTATTAAGGTGAAGCTGACAGTGGTGGATACACCTGGCTTTGGGGACTCCGTGGATTGTTCAGACTGGTGAGAACAGCGGAAGGAGCGCGGGCTAAGCTTCCCCATGTGGCTACTCTGTGAAGGCTGAGGGGTCAGCTATAGGACTGGTCTGCTCTGCCCCTGCCCTCCCCAAAAGGTGGGTCTGCATCTGGTGGCCATGTGGCTTCCCAAGAGCTGACCTACACCTCATCAATCTCCTTTGATGTCTTTGGTTAGAGCCCAAGAAACTAGTTGCCACCTCCAGGGTCTTGGCTAGCTTTGACCCCTTCCCTGCCCTGTGGCCCCTCCCCTCTGACTGTTCTTTCTTGCCCCACACCCCAGCTGGCTGCCTGTGGTGCGTTTCATTGAGGAGCAATTTGAGCAGTATCTTAGGGATGAGAGTGGCCTGAACCGGAAGAACATTCAGGATTCCCGTGTCCACTGCTGCCTCTACTTCATCTCACCCTTTGGCCGAGGGTCTGGGGGACACCCTCGAGGGTTGGGGTATTGGGGAGGGGCAGGGAGGGTTTCCGTGGCCTAAGGCTGAGCCCTGACCAATCACTCCACGCAGGCTCCGGCCCCTAGATGTGGCCTTCCTCCGGGCAGTGCATGAAAAGGTCAACATCATCCCAGTCATTGGCAAAGCAGATGCCCTGATGCCTAAGGAGACCCAGGCTCTCAAGCAGAAGGTATGTCTGGTAACCTCCGATCTTTGGCCCTACATGAAGCCAAAAGTTGTTATCAAACCTGAAATCAGCTTTGACTTCTTTGATCTTGGGAAAGGAAGCAAAATGAGTCAAACCACACTGCAGGAGAGAGTTTCTGAGGAAGGTGGGTAGTAAGCTGGCTGAAGAAGCTGGAGGCTCGGAATAGAATCCCTGGACTGGTTGTTTGGCTAAGTAAGGCCTGTCTGTCTGAGGGTGGCAGCAAGGAATGATGACCCCCATCGTAACTTCAGAGCCCTCTCTCACTGTTTCTGCTTAGGCCTCTCTCTCTTGGGCTTTTGGTATTTGCCTCATCTTATAATCTTCCCAGGCCCCAGTCATCCCTGTTAGGGTGCCTTGTCTCTTTTTCACCATATATATCTCTCTCATTATCTGAGGGTTTTTTTTTTTTTTAAGATTTAAAAAAAAGTATTTTTTTAATTAAAAAAAATTTTTAAAGCCCAACAAGGGGCTTGAGCTCATGACCCTGAGATCAAAACCTGAGCTGAAATCAAGTCAGATGCTTCACCCACCGAGCCACCCAGGGGCCCCAAGATCTTAAGTAATCTCTACACCCAACATGGGGCTTGAACTCACAACCCTGAAGTCAAAAGTCACATGCTCTACTGAGTGAGCCAGCCCAGGCACCCTTCTGAGATTTTGGTTTGGGGCCTCCTGTATGTCACCATCTGCCTTTCATGTCACCTGCCTCTGACCACCTGGTACCTTATCTCACTGTCTCCAGCCATGCAGTGTCTGCTGCTCACAGCCTCTGTTTCTCACTGTCTGCTCCTAGATCAGGGACCAGTTGAAAGAGGAAGAGATCAACATCTACCAGTTCCCCGATTGTGACTCTGATGAGGATGAGGACTTCAAGAGGCAGGATGCAGAGATGAAAGTAAAGATGCAAAGGAGGATGGGGCAAAGAAGCCGGGGCTTCGGCTGCAGAGGTTGACAACGAGGTTTCTGCCCAAGAGGGGCCACCGGTGATCCCCTGACTCGTGCCTTTCAGGAAAGCATCCCTTTTGCAGTTGTTGGTTCCTGCGAGGTAGTGAGGGACCGTGGGACCCGGCCTGTGAGGGGACGCCGCTACTCCTGGGGTACCGTGGAGGGTGAGTAAGGTGGGCACGCTTTCTGAGGCCAGCGGGGAGCCCAAGATGCCTCTGAGTCAATGGCACCCAACATGTAAAGTTGGGGCGATCTCTGGTCCCAGGGATCCTAAGAGCCAAAAGAGGGATCCTTGGACTTCAGACCCTCACCTAGACGGGGGCAGGAATCTGGGCAGACTCGACCAGGCCCAGTAGGGCTAGACCCGAAGGTCCCTGACACTCGCCGGTCCGCCCCTCAGTCGAGAACCCACATCACTGCGACTTCCTGAACCTGCGACGGATGCTGGTGCAGACACACCTGCAGGACCTGAAGGAAGTGACCCACGATCTTCTCTACGAGGGCTACCGGGCCAGCTGCCTACAGAGCCTAGCCCGGCCTGGGGCTCGCGATCGAACCAGCCGTAGGTGAGAGCCTGACCTGAGTCCTAGGGACTCTCAAGGCCTGGCCCTCACTGTCCCGGACCCGGCCTTCATCATCCAGACCACTCTCCCAGAATCTTTCCCTATCCACTTTGTTTATGGCATTGAAAGGACACGGCCCCGCCTCCTAGACCCCAACCTTGCCCCACGCCCCGCTCCGCTCCCGCAACCATTAACCGAGGGTCCCGCCCTTGATTCCCTGTCCCTTTCCCCCGCCTCCTAGTAAGCTCTCCCGCCAGAGCGCCACAGAGATCCCGCTGCCCATGCTGCCTCTGGCGGAGACAGAGAAATTGATCCGTGAGAAAGATGAAGAGGTGAGCAAGTACCTCGCTCTGCCCCAACCCCCCAGAACCCCAAGTCTTCTTCGAAGTCCCTCCATGGCCTCCCCGTCCCACCGCCTACAATCTTGCCCCGCACAGCTGCGCCGCATGCAAGAGATGCTGGAGAAGATGCAGGCCCAGATGCAGCAAAGCCAGACTCAGGGAGAGCAATCGGACACTCTCTGAGGACCCCGCCCGGCCCTGCTTTACCTCGGCTCCGCCTTCAGTCGGTTCCCGTCCAATCCTGGAGCCCCAGCCTGCGAGACCCAACTCGGCTCCGGGCTCTCGGGCTAAGAGGTTCTCCCAATGCCGGGTTTGTAGTCCCGCCTTTGGCCACACCCCATGGCCACGCCCCAGCTTTCAGCCCCGCCCCTAGCCCCCCCGCCCCCTTCACTCAAGCTGTGACTTCAATAAAATGAGTTTCAGGGCGCCGGAGTGACCCAGTACGTTAAGCGTGAGGCTCTTGAGTTTGGCTCAGGTCATGATCTCAGGGTATAGAATCCAGTGGGGGGGGGGGGGGGAGAGGCAGGTCCTGCTCAGCGGGAGTCTGCTGGAGATTTTTCTCTCTCCCTCTCCTCCCTCTGCCCCTCCCCTTGCTCGCGCCTGCGCTCTCTCTCTCTTTCAAATAAATAAATGGGTAAATATTTAAAAAACAAGTAGTTTCCCTGAAACCACCAGAGTCTTACTTTCCCAGCGGGGGTAAGTGGCGGGTGTAGCGGATGTAGCGTTTGGAACCGCCCCACCCGGACCCCAGGCCTCCGGGCCACTATTTACTCATCGGCTGGGCGCTGGCTTGGGGCCAGGCAGTGTTTCGGGCCAGCTTCCCACCTGAGTCCCTCTCCCACAAACGCACTGAAAGCGCCGCCGCTAATAAACAAAGACCAGTTTAGTTTTATTAGGAGTCGGGGTGGGGGTCGGACTGGCAGGAAGGCGTTGGCCCGCAGAAGCCTAAGAGGGTCCCCTACTCCTGGTCCTTGGCGTCGCCATGCGTGATGACGTAGCAAATGTTCTTGTAGTCCACGTTGCCTCCCACGTCGGGGGGGAAGGCTGCCCACATGTTCTTGATCTGCGGAAAGATTCAGGGGCGGCGTCTCCTACCGACTCCGTATGCTCCCCTCCCCCCTCCCTCTGCTTCTCGCGGCCCCTCCCCTGCTCACCTCCTCCGGGGAGAAGCGGTCACACTGCGTGGTAAGCAGCTCCTCCAGGCTGCGGAGAGGTGACATATGGGGAGTTGAGATTGGGCTTCGTGGTTCCTTTCCAGTCCCTCCCACCTCATCCTGGTTGCCATTCCTGGTATCAACTTGAAAACCGAAGTCATTCCAGATCCCTCACTGGTCTCCCAGTCTGGGCTTCTCGGTTTTGCTCTTCCCCTCTCCTATGTGCTGTGATAGTGTAATCCTATTGCCCATTTCCACAGTCCTAATTTTTCCCTTATCCTCTCTTTTATACCTAAGCTTTGGTAAGAATTTAAGGAGGCTTTCTGTGTTTGAGTTGGAAAGGGTCACTTACAACTGCTTCTTGATGGTGCCCTTCCCCTCAGGGTCCAGGACCTTGAAGGCTCCAGTGATCACATCCTCAGGGTCCGCACCTGGAAGGTCAGAAGGCACATGAAGCAGAAGGGTTTCTGAAGGTTCTGTCCCTGAAAGGTGTGGGTAGGGGCATCTGGGGGCTTAGACCCAGGACATTTCATTCACCTTTAAGCTTCTCCCCAAACATGGTCAGGAAGACGGTGAAGTTGATGGGACCACTGGCTTCCTTCATCATGGCATCTAGCTCCTCATTCTTCACATTGAGGCGCCCTGGAGTAGGGTGGGGGAAGCTGGAGTGGGATCTTTCCTCCAAGGGTTGGTTGATCCTTCCCATAAATTAAGATCATCCCACCCATTTTTTCTTCTGGGTGGACTGAGGTCCTGGGGTGGAACTGGCAGCGCTGAAACCCAAGGCTCCTGAATTCCCAGTACTCTCCAGCCTTGAGTCTCTATGGGTAGGAGAAGGGACTCACCCATGGCTGCGAAGGTGTCCCGCAGATCTTCCTTGTCGATAATGCCATCACGGTTCTGGTCAATTACCGTGAAGGCCTGTGGAAGGCAGGGGCAGGGAGGGATTAGTTCCCCTGTGGCCAGGCTTCAGCATCCCTAGCCCAGGCAGATCAGATTCTGGCCCCTTGCCAGCTGTTCTCTTACATGCCAAGCAGGGCGGGAAGCAAGGAATTCTAAACCCTTCCCCTCCCCCTAAACAGGTGCACATTCCAGGGAGAGGTGGCAAGGGGTGCCTTTGGTCAGTTTCCAGTCTCCCTTCTCCCCTTACGCACCTCCTTGAACTCCTGGATCTGAGTCTGGTCGAACATGGAGAAGACGTTGGAGCTTCCGCCCTCTGCCACTGCCCTTCTCTTGGCCTTCTTGGGTGCCTGGGGGGGGTGAGGGATGGGCAAAGTGGTCCATGGGTGAATCCCTACATCTCTCTGGAGGCAATGGATTAGATTCAGGGTTCTTTGAGTCATTTTTTTTAAAAGCAGCTCTTTTGGTTCTAGGTTTTCCTCTCCTTATGACCTCTTTGCTGAGGGGACTTGTTTTGGTTGCATCCCCAAATTCCTATCCTCCATCCTACACAGCATGTGGGACTCCTCAACAAATCTCCTTTTCAGTGACCAGAGCTTGTCTCCTCTGAGTCCCAAACCTGCTGTGTGACCCTGATCTGCTCATTCACCCTGTCTGAACCTCTAATTTCTCATGTATAGAATGAGAGTTGGAATCCTTGCCTGACTCTGCCCAGAGGGTTTTAGAAAGGAGTACAGGAAAGTATGCAGCATGCTTTGAGAGAGGAGGGTCTCCTGTGAATGGAGAGTCTTGGCAGATTATCCTTGGATGGATCACTTAGGCCATCTTTCTGTACGCTCCCCATTAGCAATGCCAAGAAAGGGAGGATTCATCTGTTTCCTCTTACTGGACTGGGAATCAGCTACTTATAAAAAGTGGGGCTGCCTTGAGGTCTGAGGGATCTGGGTAGGGGCTGGGGGATTCTCACTCACCATGGCTTCAGTCTCCTGGGGGCAAGGCAGTGGCTCTGGCTGGGAAGGAGCAGAGTCAGCCTGTGACAATCCCTCTGGGGTTATATAGTCCTGCCCCAGGGAGCCCTCAACATACCAGGGTAACCTTAGCCCTGTGGGTGCCCACCCCAGATACCAAAATAGCCCTGCTCAGGGCTTCTCCTTTCTTGGAGGGCTGGCAGCAGCTGGAGCTCAGGGAGGGAGGAGTGACTAGGTCTTGGGATGTGTGTCTCACTAGGACCCAGGCAGGAAAGGATGCTCACTTTCCCAAAAGGGGGCTCGAATATGCCAGAGTTCAGAGAAGACCCAAACTAATGCATAATACTGGGAGAAGGGATCCCTGGGTGGCGCAGCGGTTTGGCGCCTGCCTTTGGCCCAGGGCGTGATCCTGGAGACCCGGGATCGAATCCCACGTCGGGCTCCCGATGCATGGAGCCTGCTTGGAGCCTCCCTCTGCCTGTGTCTCTGCCTCTCTCTCTCTGTGACTATCATAAATAAATAAATAAAAATTAAAAAAAAAAGTAATACTGGGAGAAAGATAAACCTGAGTGAGGTGGCTCCAGATTTATTTATTATTTATTTCTTTAAAAAACATTCCTCATTTTGAAATTAACATTTTTATGTTTCTATTTATTTGTATTTTTAAAAGATTTTATTTTATTTATTCATAGAGACACAGAGAGAGAGAGAGTGAGGCAGACACAGGCAGAGGGAGAAGCAGGCACCACACAGAGAGCCTGACGTGGGACTCGATCCCGGGTCTCCAGGATCACGCCCTGGGCTACAGGCGGCGCTAAACCGCTGGGCCACCTGGGCTGCCCTTATTTGTATTTTTAAAACGATTTTTTATTTTTAAATAATTTCTGCACCAAACATGGGCCTTGTTTTCCCCATCCCACAGAACTTGTGGATATGAACACTATGTGGAAACAGTTTAGTGAAATATAATCATTACAATTCATATTTGTGCCCTGCCTTGGTGGACTTACATTCTATCTGTGGAGACTGGATAAACTACGAAAATGCCATAACAGCTGATCTGAAAAAAAAAAAAAAAAAAGAACAGCTGATCTGGAGCACAGAAGTAGAGGGCATAGCAGCCTTGTCTGAGGATATGGGAATGATTTTATGAAGACCAGGAGAAGTTAGGTGAAAGTAGAAGGGCAGGCATGCTAAACAGAGAGCACAGATAGGCAAAGACCTGGACAAGGGAAAGGTCAAGTTGCTAGAATGGTGACAAGGCTAGAGCAGAGGGTGTAGGCTGGAGACCAGAGATTGAAGTGTCTTCCATGCCAGGCTGAGGTGAGGGCTAAGAACTTGGGAGCCTTGGAAAAGTTTGAAACTGAAGAACATAATCTAATGTGAGTCTATAATCATTTCATTGGATCCTATTGTGAAAGTTAGAATTCAGAGGAGGGGAGTCAGAGACACCAAGAGAGATGCTAGTTGGTCACTTCCTTCTGGGTGGCTGGAATGGCTAGTGCTCCTTTCCCCATTCTAGGCAAGAACCAGCTCGGCTGCTTGTGTGACTTTGAGGTACCCTCTCCTGGGGAAATAGTGGCTGAGGAAGCCCTGGGAGGCCAAGATTGGCAAGGACACCCATCTCCTCCTTCTCTTGCTCCCTCTAGGACCTGATGTCCTAAGGAAAGTACCTCCTCCTTTTTCCCTCCTCCAGCCTCATACCAATGCCTCTAAGACATTTTCTTTTCTGGGCACTGAGGCCCAGCCACCTGTTGTCTCTAAGAAGAGAGAAGGAGCCACCCTAAACTTAGCAGCTGCCCTTGGCCTCCTACACTAGCCTCTCCCTGCTTCCAATGACAGCTGCCTCACCTTATACGGTTACCAGGGGGGTCTAGGCCCAGGGAGGAGCCCACTTATTCCTTGGTTCTGGGAGGGGAGGAAAACCCCAAAGAGGGGAAGGGGGAAAGTACTCAGGTAGTTTGGGTCAAAAGGAAAGTGTGGAAATAAGAAGGAGATCAGGAGCTGTATGTCTAACTCAGACTCTGAATGGAAATACACAGGATCTGGGTCTGAGCTGGGAGCAAATAGCCTGAAAGAACTCAGAAACCAAGGAGGATCTGGGACATTGGGAGTTTGGCCTGACTGAAATTCTAGGATGGTGGACTCTGTATGGAAAATTGGGGCCCTCTAACTC